CAGTGTGTCGAGATTCAGAAGTATGCGGATACTTAATTGGGATCCGATAAGACACACTGGACAATGTTAAAACATTCCCATTGTACGTAGATAACACGTCCCACGTACGAAGACGCGTCGGGCGCCCCACAATCACACCTCGCGAAAGCAACTCCGGAGGGGGAAAGGCCCCATTCCCCTCTCAGCGGCAGAGGGCATCACCGGATGTCACTGCGGTGCCTCTGGCCGGGAGTTCGTGGCGTTCCAGTCCCGACTGTAGAAGGAGTTTCAACACTAACTACATAGCTAGGTCGAGTTCTGAACGGGAATGCTAGCGGCCGGCGTCTCTGATCGGCAGTTTTCGCTGGTTTTTTCGATCAACACCAGGCGAATACTGGAGGAGGACCCTAACAAAAGTGTCACGGACGGTGCACGATTTTTCTTTCCTCATCCTTATCCTACACTCAACTCTTACTTACATATATTTACACTCATATGCACTACACTACTACATATGTCTGGAAACCAGTCATGAGCTTAAACTTTGTTCCGACTGTGGCTGTGCCCCGCTGGTGGCAGATATGGTAGGGAAAACCCACGCACGTCGACGTGTAGGTCGGCGCCGGCTATAACCATCCACTGGGGTAAGAACATCGCCATTTCCAGTGATAAAAATAAGCAATGCCTTTATGTGACAACCATAGCCGCTGTCGCTTAGGAAACACGAAGAAATCAACCGTTCTGCACACATCTTCAATAACTCTATGCAAGACGGAAGACACAAAGAAATTATTTAATTGGCTGTCCGGGTGACGCCTCGACCATGGCAAAGGTGCCGACGTTTCGGTCGCCATTCTGCAACCTTCCTCAGGGCGTAATGGGGCCTTCCTCAGGGCGGCGTCACCCGGACATCCAATTAAATACTGACTACGGCCGCGGAAGCCTACGCTTTCACAAAGAAATTATTAAAAAACGCTTCTTTTTGATAATTTTAAAAATAATTAATAAAAACATAAATTAGTCGAAAAACATTCATTAGATCTCTGTATTTCGGTTACACAAAGTATAATTATTATATTTTTTATTGTAAAATAGAAAGGAATGTTTACGATATGTTCACCTTATTTAAATGATTTAAAAACTACCCTCACGACCATTAAGGCAGCTCTGCAAATTAGGGCATTCAAAACAAGCATTTTTGATCCTTGTCCCAACCCGTCACGTTGTTTCATCTCTGACGCGGTTGACGTTTCTTCCAATCCCTTTACGGTCCCTGGTTGACATTAATTCGATCCTGTTTCATGAAAGAAAAGAAAATATTCTTCATTAATTCATAATTTTATCGATCTTGGCTGATTATGCTTTGGGACACCGAAACCATATTGTCCATCACATTGCTATCAATCGCGGCCATAGGGGAGGCTCCACTCATAAAAAAGAACCCGGATGTGTAGGCACTCATTCGGTTTGAAATAGGCAGATAAAAGGCACTTTAAACTTATTAAATAGGCACTAAATAGGTATTACAATTTAAATGATTTTCCTTCAGAAATGTTTAGAAACTAATTATTAATCATTACTATTTGCTTCATGCAAATTGCTGAATTCTATTTATGTTGAATGTAATACTCATTTATAATTAATATTATTATATTATTATTATTATAAACTATTTATTCACATGTCGATGTTCTGATATTTCTACTCTTATTTTAATATTTAAAAAAACAGTATCTGTACTGTAAAAATGTAATCCTGCCCTTTCATTGAGGTGAGATAACCGTATTTAAAATACAGTACCATGCCAAATTAATATGGTTATTTCACATTTTTTATTAAAAACAGATGTTTACTAGATAGTTTAGACGATTAACACAATGTATTGTCTATAATTGCTTTATTTATACACCAGCCATATTACGCATTTTATCTTTGTGTACAGTCGTGTAGCTACGATCTAGCCTGCTGTAATTGTCGGGAATTCCCTTTGAAGTTTCGATGTTTACGTATTTGATTTGTTGCTTCGCAAGTCGGTTTAATGTATTAAACGTTTACGATGTATTAAATCCAATATACGATTATATTGTTATACTATTATATTGTTGGAAAGCAATACGAAACTTTGTAGGCATGAGGAAATCACATTAATAACACTCTAATCTCAATTTTATGAATTTGCAGAATTGGTAAAGGTGAAGAAAAGGGGAACAAGAGCCGGGAAAGAAACGTTATATTGCAGCATTGTTGAACGAAACAAATGTTTGTGTATAAAGGCGTATTAAACAAAATTGTGAAGAAAAGAAGTTTCATAGGTGGCCTTATTAATTTGGCTAGGCACCGATTTACAATAACGACAGTAACTCTTACTATTTTCCTTTAAGAGTGCTGAGCAATTAGATTCTGCTTGGTTGATATTATATTAGTGGTGATCAGCCAGTCAAGAGGAACAACAAACACAAACACATTATCATGAATTAAAGGACGAAAGCTATGACGTGCTGAGGTTTATAAACTTTTTGCAATTGTTTCCAAAAATTATAGAAAGATTATATTTTCTTTGTAATGTGAATGAAGAAAAGCTGACAAAAGAAAAGAAGGCACAAAGAGGTAATATGTTTAAAATAAAATCTGAATACTAAATAATCAAAAAGGGACGATTAAATGTGTATTATGCACTTTCAGAGCCATAAATGGGTATTATCTGCTGTTAAGTCTTAATATTACAAATTTATAAGAAAAGGCATTTTGCCAAAACATCCGGGCTCTGTCTATGAGATACAACTCGAATGCTTTATTTTCAGCACCCACTGTCGAAAATGCACCACGAGCCCGAATTGCATGATTCCGTAGCCGCTCAAGACAGTTGTCTACTGCTCACCAAATTTGGACTTGTGATCTCTGTTAACATCTGGGCAGTGAAATAATTAATAGTGTGTGAAATAAATATGAAAAGTTATCAGGTTGATAAGAAAGGAGGCACTTCAATTGACGTGTATAAAAAATATTTGCTCGATGTACTTTGTTGGTTCAAGGTGACAGTTGGCAACATAAGCGGAACACTAAACAATTAAGCGATATGAACTATATTCCTATGGTAAGGGGTTGTGGTATCGTGAAATAGGGTTAAAAGAGGTAGCATCATACACATGCATAACAGCTATTCAGGATTTCCCACCACACTACAGGTAAACACATTTTCACAGAAAATACTTAGTTTACTAAGTAAAGAGGTCAAGACTTTTAGAAACATTTTAAAATGAAAACTGAGTTGGATAAATTCTTTAGATACGAAGACAAATAATCTTGGTCGAACCATAAGAGCCGATTTTACGTAGAAAAAAGAATTCAAATCCAAAGTTAGGAACTTAAAAAGTAAGTAAAAAGGAAGCGGGACCCGAAGCTCTAAGAAGAACTCTGTGAAGGAACGATCGGAGAAACGAAGGAAGGTTGCGAAGTGAGTGGAATACAGCTCTCTAAGCAAATGAAATGTTTTTCGCGCCTTCAAAGATCAATGACGATCTGCACTGCGAAATGGAGTAATGTAGGCGTGAATGAGCACCGTCCCTGTCGCCGCCCACCCTCGCCGCCAGCACCGCCACGCCACCGCTCGCTGCCTCGTAAGTGCGCATACAGCACCACGACTCTCACACGTCCTCCGGCGAACAGTCCCGATGTACTCTCGTATATTCTTGTATGTTATAAAATATTTGTAAAATTGCAAAATACATTTCCACAATTTTGGTGTTCTGTAATGACGAATAATGGTTGAGTTGCACGTGCGTAATGTCACTTAAGGTGTTGAACGATGCACGTGAACTAAAACATATGTGGACTTCGACTATCTAAAGCTATTTCTCAGACAAGAGGTGGACGGAGAGATGTGGGAACATTACATATCTCCTCACTGCAATTTTTGTTCGAACTGATTTGAATACTACGATTAGTACTTCATTGTAAATATGGTATAATGCCAGTAATTGAAAGCAAACTGCATTTAATTTACAAAGTTCTACAAAAACCGACTGTGGCCCGTTCTTCCATTAATTATTTTTCTTCGTTGAAATTCTGACTACTTATTGCTTTTGGGGTAATAGTTTAACGAAACGTTTTCAATTTGCTTCTTAAAATTGCTGTCATACATTTGATTAGCCACTTCCAGTGTTCGTGAAAAGGATTAAACTTGCCTTTCACTTGCTGAATAATTAAAGGCCAGGCACTCAATAGGAAGTGCATTTTTAATTTTGTAATTCTGTCTCTAAAACTGTCAAAATTTTTTTTTTTTAATTTCATTTAACGTTGTTTGCATGGAAAGATTTGCGGACAAATAGAAAATAACCATCTGTGACAAGAAAATACTTATTTTTTGTCAAGTAATCTTGTAAATGTCTGCATCTCGTGCACAAGATATAGATGAAGAAATACGACTTATTCATATTATGTTTTAATACGAATACGACTTATTCATATTATCCAAGGGGCAGTTTTTTCGTCTTCACGACTGTATCTCAAATTCCGTGCGACCTTCATTTGCAATCTGGATATAAAAACAACTCTTTCAGTTGTGTTAAAGCTAATCTCTGTACCATTAAAATAATACGAAGGCGTATTATATGTTCTAGAGTAACATATAAGAATATTGCTTTCTTATTGAAACAGAAATTGTCTGCGTTCATAAGTTGTAATCAAATTCGGATTTAGTTAACATGCTATTTGAAAGTATTTGAAATATTTAATGTATCAATGTTTTGTGTTAATAGTTTTAAATTTTCCCTTAAGAATCATCGGTAAGGCGGTCACAGTCTTGTTTACTACTCCTATCATATTAAAAATAAGTTTGCAAATAAATTATATTGGTACTTTCCGATTTGTCATACCTACACTGTGTGAATTAATTAATGTGGATATCGATCAAAATTGCATCACATTCATTTACACATAATTCGAATGAAAATCATAATAATAATAATAATAATAATAATAATAATAATAATAATAATAATAATAATAATAATAATAACAACGTGAGACACAAATAAGTGACGATATTCGTTTTTGTAATTTGATATTACGTATGTGCAGGAATAAAATATCATTTAATAATTGGAAATATTGATACCTCAAGAACAATGCCAGAGAGGTAAGGCATATTTCTACCTTGAATTCCTTTACCGCCTTCCATCACGATGTTTTCTATCTAAAAATGTAACTTTCTTCCTACTCCAAACTACGAATTTTTAGCGTTTGTGATGGAGAGAAATTAAGAGCTATCATTTTAAAATTGAATGGAATTTCCTTCAATTGTGTTTTCTCATTTCAATATTATTGTTCTCGAAGATGAATATTTTAATCAGCAGTTTAAGCAATTAGAAAACGTTTGATATACTCACAAATCATTTAACCGTGTACTTTTTTTTATGATATTTCCAGAGGAAATAATGTTTATGTATTCGTAGATATGTTCCCACATCGGTCCATGCACAAATATGTCGCCACTTCGCACATAGAGGAAGTGAAAGCTCATATCTTGTCAGAGACGTTTCTATGAAGGCTTCTAGTGATTCGCTGAGTTGCGGTCTCCGGCTGCTTAGCGGCTGACGAGGCGGAAGGGGGCCAAGTCGTCCAAGAATTGGGGCAGTGTGCTTCGGCCTCAGATCGGTGCCGATAACGTTACGACACCAGACGCGTCACGCGATATTCTCTGTCAACATGGCCGTCAGCATCCCCGCAAGCGCCGTAGACAGTAGTGCTGTAGCAGTAGTTTCATAGCCCCTGGAGGAGAGCACGTGGGCGCTATTACATGCATCGGCGTCATCACAGCTCTGAAGGCAACCACGGACGTATCTGAAATCAGCACAAAACACGTAACTCAATCATTCGCTCAATCACAACAAAGAAACAAAAGCAATGGCCTAAAGTCAGAGATGAAAGTGTGGAAAAAATTCGCACATTTTCTTGGCTTTTTTTAAGGACGCTTTCAACAACTTGGTCATATAGCGACCGCTGTGGTTTTTTAACTGAATGGGGAACTATAGTGAGAACACGTAGGGACAAAACAAATACACAGAAACATCCCTGCCTGAGGTGGGATTCGATCCCGCGACCCTTCCAGCCGAGACAGCTACGACCATTTAGCCTTCGCTACCTCGGCTAACCACGCACACTCTACTTTTGTAGAGTGGAATATCAAAAGTATAAGACACGAACTCAAGATTTCACTTTACGGAAACTTCAGCTTTGAAAGAAATCTAATTGAACGTTATGGGTTAACGTGACATAACTCAAAGATATGACCTGAATATCTTTGTATTATTTGTTCTTTGATACAAAGGAGAGAAGGGGGAAAAAAGAGAAAGGGAGTGAAGGAAGGAATTATTCATTAATTGATTGATATTTTCGGGAACGTCATCTGCTATGGTCATTGGTCCCGTAATTGAAGTCAATGTTACATCCCGAGAGGTGGCGGTGAATCCTTCCCCGCAGGATGGCGAGAACCGGCGGCGACCTACACATTGGCTTGCGGGGGATATTCCCCCCAGCGGGACACAGCCCCAGTCGGGACACGCTCTAAGTTCCCGGCTGGTCTCCCGACATGTGTAGTTGTGCAGTGGATGTGAGTGTGTAAGGAAAGAGGATAGGACAAGAAAGAGAAAGGAATAAAATACCCGCGGTGCCGGGTCTTTTTGTTAGGATAGTTCACCTGGTATTGGTTGGATAAACCACGGAAAACATTATCAGAACTGCTGGCCGCTAGAATCCTCCCTCAGACAGCTTGAATTCGACCTAACTAGTATACAGCCGCCGATTCGGTGGCCGAGATCGTTAAGGCAGTAGTGCCGTAGCGATCTCGTACCGAAAGATCGCGGGTTCGAGTCCCGCCTCGAGCATGGTTGTATTGTGTTTGTCCTTTCACCCCCTATCATCATTATCATCATATTGGGGAAGGCAGCGGGAAACCACCCTGAGTAATTTATCCCAAGAAAACCCGTTATGGGTCACCTAACTTCCGTATATGGAAGATAGGACCAAAGAAGAAGTATACAGCAAAAGTCGAAAATGTGTCACCGACGCGAGGGCTAAACCTAGGCCCTCCCGGACAGAGTCGCTGCGGAGACAGCGACCATGCTTGCTCTGAGCTAAACGCAGCCGATAGGAAGGAAAGAATGGAGGAAGGAAGGAAAACATGAGGAAGGAAAGAGAGAGAGAAGGGAACGTAACCGAAACATATTCCGGGCGAAATCGGTGAGGGCGCCACCGAGGTCTCCGAAACGAAAGTATAGACACTTGTACTTGCTGAGTAAAATTCAGGCACTATGATATCGATCGTGGGCTAAAATATTGGCACAAATCAAAAAAATCAGATGATGAGATAGATGAGCTTGAAGTTTTCGCCTCGTATTGAAATGCATAATTCTTGCATTCACACTTCTGCCATTTGTTGATGGAATGCAGTACTGTAAGTTTAACTGCTGTTGCTACCTGATAGTAGACCAATCTGCAAATTCTGGAGAGTATATTAACTCAAAATTAGTATTTGTTCAAAATTAATGCAGAGGGGGCTAGGGAAATGGGAGAACAGTTGTGGAGTGGACAGTCCTTATACTCCATTAATTTTTGATACTTCACATTACGAAGAAGTTATAAGGGAACATGTGAAGAAAGAAATCAGCGTATAAAGGAGCGCGAGCAACTCGAGCTGTGAAGGGTAACGAGCGTCGGTTGGGCACTCACCTGTTGTCGTACATGAACCCCCCGCAGTGCGACATGCGGACGATCTCCGTATCGGTGGTGAGCGTTCCGCTGTCCAGGGCACAGCCGCGCACAGTGATGCGGTCGCCGTTCTCTGCAACAGGCCGTTGCGAGTTACATTCCGGACACATGCGAGCACGCTATTCATAGCGGACCTGTGCATGCAAAACTCGAAAGTATAATTCGGGTGCCAGGAAACAAGAGTCGGAACATGGTAGGTGATTTGTCTCCAATCACGGACATCTGGCACAAATCTGTAATGGTGATGTTAAATTTTCACAGTCAAAATCTTACATTCATACATTATTATATATTAAGTATTATATTAAGTACGAAGTATTTCCCTTTATTTAATACATGACATGATCTAATTTAACCTTCCAGTGCACGCGACGTTGACCAAGACCGCAAGCTAATTCTTTCTGTGACCAATGGCCTACCAAGGGACCTGTGATATGGTTCCGAGTACCGTCGTTTCATGCTTCTCTCGGACACAGTCACGATAGGACATTCTCCGCAATGCCGGGCCCGGCCGTCCAGAGGAGAGCTGGGTGCTACGAACTGAAGGACCACCTACTGCATAAATCGGCACAGCGGTGTATCGATCATTTCAGCAGTATTCAAATGTCTTTCAGTGGGTGTATTCTAGACCAGCATCTTCGGTGTTATTATAAAATGTTGTCAATTTAAATCATCGGCGAGGCCATACGTAGCGGCAATTAACTTGGCTTTTTGCGCGGCGCGGGGTTTTGGTGCGGGACCCGGAGGAAGCCTGCCAACCTCGCAGGCATCCACCCCGCTGCAGGCGACCGCCGCCACAGCCCGCAGTCAACACTGGGTCATGATGAAATTAATGAAATATGTAAAGATAAATTTTGAAATTAGGTCATGTACAATTTTTCGAAACTTTGAGTACTTTTCGCATAATTTAGCGTGAAATTACGGGCAAAAAAGTGCGTGCTGTTTTAGGACCACTAGTTGTCTTCATACTGCTTTGCGAATTGCAATCTCTTCTTTCTATTGGCTTCGTTGATAAAAAATATTTTCCTAGCAACTCGCCCATATTATTCAACATTTCTTATCGCGATGGAGGACCATTTTCCAAATGGAGGACCGTTCCAGTTAAAAGTACACAGTTTCGCAGATGGCTTCCAAACATGGATCCTGTGATTTCTCCACATCCGTCACAGTTACAGGCCTGGACTGGTCGTCCTCCCAACGGTATAGATTTAATACAAGCTTTTTGTACCTCTTTTATATCAACTCTAGACTAAAAAATATTTAACTATTTCTCTTTGCGTACGGCCCTAGACACAAAAAACAATCACCAATTTTCGCTTATAGAACGTAGTGTTTCCCCTTTGGCGAACTATATTTCTTAGATCTGTAACTTCTGATGACAAAATAGTTTCTGAACCTACACAGTGATATTTCAGTTCATGATTAGGAATGTTTGCAACCCACCATCTCGTATCAAAGATGAAAATTATTTTCAACTAAGAAGAACTTGCAGAATTCTCCGATTTAAGTGGAGTTACATCCTCCCTTCCGAATACATACATCGTGTTTTTTGTACGAATTCTTTAAACTTTCAGTGCTGTAAATGACACCATCATTTTCAATAATGGTGAAAATGTTTCATGTATAAAAAATGTCTGTCCGTAATATAAGGCACATGCAATTCAAATTAGAGAAGACGAAATACGGCTTTGCCCGAAAATGAATGTGACTGCCTATACATACTAGATTGTTTGGAATTTCAATCACAAGAGAATTTCAATTCCGATGAATAAATGGAAAAAGTCTTTCATTCTCATTGCTAATATTGATGTTTGTTCCTGTTCGTCGTGACGAGACCCTGGATTGCTGTAGTTTCACCCCGATCCACCATCGCCACATCGCTCAGTTTTTTTTACACCTCTCGGCGCCGCGAAGGCCACCTACCGCAAAGGCGACAGTTGCAAGGCTTGCTACAGGAAATATTGTTTCCCTAATTTACAATCACGTGTGAGAAAGAATCATTGTATACTCAAATTACTATCAAAATATTAACCTATGAGACATCATTGTAATCATATATTTATGATCAAACAATAGCTGGTGAGAAAGAATATAATTCTATTTAAAAAGGTGATTAAATTTCTAAAAAACTAAAAATATTTCAAACAATATCTCTACAGTATACTGCTTGTATCATGATTCCGCATTGTTGAGTGAAAACAGAATTTTGATATTGTGAACCGTTTAGAAATTATGGGGATGGATCATAGTTGGTGGGCAGAGCCTATGCAAAAGCGATTTGAATTATTTCCAGAAGTTAACGAAACAGAATCGCCAATTAACGGTCATCCAATCTTTAAGCACAATGTAACTGACATATCAGAATTCACACTTCCCTAAATCACTGTTAAAGAGATACGTTTTCACTGAAAATAAATTTAAAAAACTAAAAGTACAAACTCAGTCATGTGAAAATTGCAGATTGTTAAATAAATCTTTAAACGAAAAAGAATAACTATTACTCCTACTCATATTTTACATCTAAAAAACTGTCGGTAGTAATATCCATCAATCAATAAACGAAAGTGATATTCTACATCAGGCATGTCAACTGCACCCGCACGAACTACTTGCCGATATGAGAAGCTCAGCGCTCCAGCAATTGCGGGCAACTTCCCCTAATTCCGCTTCTGTTTCCCCTCCAAATCAAGGAAGGGTGTACACTCGCAACCCGTAGCGGGGATGACAAGTACAACGCGTTCGAAATACCACGAAGAAATGGTGCTTCGTTAAGGTTAATTTATATTGATTTATATTAATTTGTTTTGTTTTTTTGTTTGTTTGTTTTTTTTGTTGTAGAACACATTTTTGGTACAAGGATCGCACAGAAATATGTAATAATTTTTTACTGCAATAAATACGAAATATTTGCAACTGCAAAGTTTTTAATGGATACAGAAATTACATGTTTATGTTGATATTATTCAGATACTATACCTCGCTAGAATATACTTCTGAACAGTTTTCTACCCGAATACTTCCATTACTTTGCTCGGTGACCTAAACATTAAACATACGTTATGTAGTAGTAGAACTAATTCTTCAAACTAAACGTATTTACACAATCTGTGTCGAAATTACGATCACAAAATTATTGCTCCGTTCGACCCTATATTCTGCCCTTACACCTCAAACCGTTTTTCAGACATTATTGGTATAGCCATCACTAATACGACTATTCGGCTAGTCTCCGTTCCAAAGTTGGACGCGGATCACAATTCAGTGATTTGGACTGCCCCCATGACTCGGCCCACCATGCATATCTACCTACTGGAGTAATTTTCAATACAATCTCAAATTCTCTCCCTCCTATTAAACAGCAAAAAACACATTCTCGTTTCGGCAAACGCTATAATTAATTCTAATAAAGGTTCTTGACCAACACTACACTGCCCATTCGTGCTTCTATCCGAAACTATCGGAAGACATTAAAATTTTAATATCGAAAAAAAAATTAAATAAGAAACATTTCGATCAAACACAGATTACCTCACCTTAAATCACTTAATCCTACTCGTACGTAATGCTCAAGTATTATTTCACCTCCAGGAATATCAAAACTGCGTCGCCGACCAAAATCACAAGGCGGATAATATGGAAAGCTAGGGTTGCTAGCAACCCAATACATTTTTCCAGTTTTTAAGCATGGAAATCAGATAGCCCAAAGAACCAGAGGAAAGGCCGAAATGCTAACTGACTATTTTGCTTCAACCTTTCAAAAGCACATTTCAGAGGAATTTAATAGCGCTCTTAAACTTGACCCCCTCAGACGCCTTCCCTACATACCCGCTAAAGAAATATACCATGCCATCAAAAGCCTATCGGCAAGAATATCAGCAAAAATATCATCACTTAAACTAGTTTTTTGAAAAAAGTCCCCAGAATAGACGTAGCATACACAATCAATGTATACACACATTCGGTGTTTAGGGCAGGATATTTCCCCAGTTTTTTGAATTTGCTGCAGCAAACTACTGAAATGTTGCAACGAATAGTATTATTGCCACAGGAACCTTTGTATTGTATAGTTACAACGCTACGACCAAATTAGTGAAGCTACAACAACACATACATTCTCGCATTATTTCTAACTTTTGCAATTTTCGAAATTTCGAAGAGTTCAATGAAAATGCGAACTGGACCATTTTAAGCGACCTCTAGGGGAATATCTGCAAGCAGACATGTAGGTCGCATAGACGCCGAACCCCAGTATCCAGCGGAGGGAGATCACCGCCAACTTGCCCAGTAAAACATGCACTACACTTACAAGACTAATGAGATTAGCGGTTGACGCGCCCGGAAGCAATCAATAGATCAATCGAAGACTGATTGTATAACATTGCATGTAGTTGCATGCTGTAACTGCATGCTGTAGTTGCATGTAACATTGCATTGCTGTAATTTAAACAAGCCTTTTCATTACATATGTTGCCTAAGTGCATAAGTTTGGAGACGGGAATTTGGACAATCTCTTTGTACATGTTTTCAATGAATAAATTTTCCGAGAATAGTGCTCTTGCATGACTTTAGGTCAGTTGTAGAAAAGAAGAAATTTTAAATTCTTGGTTGGTTGGTTGGTTAGTTGTCGACGTTTCAGCGCTTTTAGACAGGGAGAAAATACAAACAAACAACTGTGTAACTAAAAATGTAATAAATATTCCAACTATGATGAAGGCTCAATAGATGGCCGAAACGTCTGCAATAAAGAATGTACAATTTCTTTCTTTCTGTAACCGACCTAAACTCAAAAAAGAACGCAATATTCATCCTTCAGAGGTCAACGAATATCGTGAATAACAGAAGTCGCAGAGAGCATTGAAGACCAGTTACATTCTCGAGATTGTGTTCCATCTTCTCATTTCACCCGTGAAAGATGGTTCTCTCGCAAATCCGAAGAGACAACGCTTTCCTTCGCCTCGCCTCGCAATATGTGTCTGTGAGGTCAGTTCCTTTTTTTGGCGGCAGCCAGTTGCTTGGTGAAAGACGCGGACGCGCTCGGGAGCGCACTCTATTTGCGGAATGATTCATACTTTAGGGTTTAGGGAAATACGGGAAGAAAGCCGCAAGGCTTACACGTTATACATGTATTTCATTAGAGAAGTTCTGCGATATAGTACCTATGTTCTTCATCCCAGTGCATACTGAATAGATGAAGAACGTTGAATGGAGTGTGCACGCACGAGATTCTCGTACTGAATGGAGCATGACCCACCGTAAACGCCGGCCAGTTTGATGCAAGCGGTGGCTGGGAAGAGACCGTTCCGCCCTTTGCGGCCGCCCTTGCACGGCGCTTCCAGAATGGCATCCGTGTGGTTGTTGTGAAACGGATCATCGCAAGGCGGATACTGCCCGTTTATTGACACGCATTTGAAGCAGTCAATAGCTGCACCTGAAACAACATGTACATTGGTCATCCTTGTCTTAAAACAATTAGACTAGGTGAACTTAAGCAACTCGCTTCGGATATCTTAAAATTCAGTTCTAAATCTCACATATTTCAATTTACTGGAAATCACAATGTTCTATTGTAAGAATATTACGACTCGTAAATTCTAGCACTGAAAACCTTTGTCATAATAAAATACACTCATCCTTTCTCAATCCCTCTGCTTCATTCAAAATTAAATCTAGAATTTATATTTTATGTTTATTTTAAAGTATTTTTATTATCATTGTAATAATATTAGAAGTGGAATTGGGAAGTGGGACTGGAAAACTTCAATAAGTATGACTCGATGTCCTGAATTTTTTAACGAAAACATCTGTTATTAAGAAAGTAAAACTTGGGGACTGCTTTCCTATCCAAATTTTTCTTGGAGTTTACTGACTTGACATTCTTGGATTTCTCCAAAAGAGTTCATGTAATGTTTCGATGTTTATACGTGTTCTTAAATTCTTATTGATTGATTGATTGAATTTGCCTTATTTTACGTGGCGAGACTCGGGCCATCAGGCCCGCTCTTCCGTCTGACCACGCAAATTTCGCTACGCTCCTTTCACCAACTAGGAGAGAAAGGAGGTATTTCTTGGGCGAGAAACAGGTGATTTGAATTTAGCTCAGAGGCGTCATTTAGGCTTGAGGATCTTTTACATGCAAGTAAATCTACGAACATGGGACAGCCGGCTTTACTTCCCCTCCGAAGGAAGACGTACGAAGGATTTTTTCGCCCTTAAAAATCCACGGCTTCGATCGGGTTTGAACCCGCCAACTTGGGTACAACAGTCCAGTACGCTAACCGTTACACCATCGCCGCCGCCGCCGCTTATTACCGGACTAACCGGAAATTCTGTTAAAGATTATGAGGTGGAACAACTACGAAGAACATTTAATCCATTGTCCTCGCGTTGCAAATGTTGAAGCGAAAATTCAATTCGTTGCCAGCTATTAAAAAATTAAAAGGTACTTTATGAATACAATAAGGGAAGGCTCCCGAAGAAAATTCGTAAAGAAATTAATCTGCCACAATCAGCATTTGTGTTATAGTTATTTTGTACTTTCTGTTTTCATGGAGTTACGAAATGGAATCCATACACTGAGGTGACAAACGTCAAGTGATAGCAATATGCAAATATACAAACGGCAGAAGTATCACGTCCAAAAGGTGTAAAAGTGCAGTGCATTGCCAGAGCTTTCATTTGTCCTTAAGTGATTCTTTTGAAGAGGTCTCTGAAGTGATTATGGCCGCACGACGGGACTTTGATCACGGAATGGTTAATTGGAGCTAGACACACGGGACGTTCCACTTCAGAAATCGTTTGGAAATTCAATATTTGGAGTTCAATATTCAATATCTCACAGTGTCAAGAGTATGCCGAGACTACCTAATGTCAGACATAACCTCTCACCACGGACAACGCAGAGCCGGCGCCACCACTTGATGACCGAGAGCAGCGGCGTTTCCGAAGAGTTGTCAGTGCAACAGATAAGCAACGCTGCGTGAAATACTAGCAGAAATCAGTGTAGGACATACGACAAACGTATCTGTTAGGACAGTGCGGCGAAATTTGGCTTTAATAGGTTATGGGACGAGTGCCATTGCTAACAGCACGGCATCGCCTGCAGTGCCTGTCCTGGGCTCGTGACCTGATCGATTGGATGCTAGACGACTGGAAAATCATGGCTTGGTCAGACTAGTCTCTATATCAGTTAGTAACAGCTGTTGGTAGGTTTCGAGTGTGGCGCAGTCTCCACGAAGCCATGGACCCAGGTTGTCAACTAGGCAATGTGCAAGCTGGTGGAGGCTCCATAATGGTGTGGGCTGCTTTACATGGAAAAGAGTGGGTCTTCTGGTCCAACTGAACCGATCATTGACAAGAAATGGTTATGTTCAGCTACATGGAGACCATTTGCAGCCACTGAAAGACTTCATTGTTCCAAACAATGGAAGTTTTTATGACAATACGCCATGTCACCAGGCCACAATTGTTCGCAATTGGTTTGAAGAATATTCTGAACAATACGAGCTAAATATCTGGCCTTCCAGATCGCTCAACATGAATCCCATCGAACATTTATGAGACATAATTGAAAGGTCAGTTCGTGCACAAAATCCTGCACCGGTAACACTTTCGCAATTATGAACGACTATAGAGGCAGCATGGCGCAATCTTTCCGCAGACAGACAGACCGACGGACAGAGAGACCGACGGACAGACAGATCGACGGACAGACAGACCGACGGACAGACAGATCGACGGGCAGACAGACGTACGGGTAGACAGACGTACGGGCAGAAAGACCAATGGACAGATGGACCGACGGAGACAGACGCACAGATGGACGGTCGAACTGACTGACAGACAGATGGATGGACGGACAGTCAGGTGGAGAGACGGACAGAGACGTTTTGCCGCCAATTGATTTTTCGGTATCAAAGACTCACAAAACTTGCATTCTGGCTACACCACGTAGAGGAAATAATTTACTACATTTAAGAACAAGATTAATCCACATTTCAATTATCTGGGCGTGACAATAAGTATTTTCTGTCGAAATTTCGCCTTTTCCGGCGCATGATTACAATATTTTCTCTTCATACATACATAGGAGCGAGAAAGTAAAAATAGAGTCATCCTGAATACAAAGGAGAAGAAGAGGAGAAAAGAAGGGAAAATAAGTAAATTTAGCAGAATATTCTCCTTAAAATTTAATCATTTTCTCCTATATATGAATTTTATTTAATTTATTCAAATTGTACATATTCATCTTGAACATTATAAACACCCGCAGGGAATAGTTTGAATTGATATTTTATGAGGACAGAATAAAGTGTATTGTATTTTTGGTATTGTACTTCAAGGAACACAGATCGTAAAGAACGAGAATACGAGAAGAGATGTAAATCTGGATAATGTGAGTGTTTTTTTTCCTTGAACTGATCTTCTAGAACGGCTACTCGGAAGAGAGAAATAGAATATTCCAGTGGGAACGGAAATGTCAGGAGCCTGACGACGTCGTGTAGGCTCATGATCTCCACAGGACTTTCATCTGTAGCTGATGCTGAGAAATTGGAAGGCTTCGCCTCCACACCCTCAGCGGCTTCACTTCGGACAGTTGACATTTAATATACTGCGAAGTAGGGCGCGATAGTAATGCCGATGGAAAAGTACTTACCGAGTCTTGGTGTAACAAGCATCACCAGAAGTAATATTGGTGGCAAGAGCGTCCAACAAAGCTGCATGCTCAACACCATTCTCGTACAAGGCCTCGAATGGCCTCTTCCTTGTGCAGATATCCCCTCGCGGAAAATGTACCTGGAACAAAGAGAAAAATACTATCACCCAATCATTCCTCTCAAAAAAGTGAATAATTTCGTAATGAAAGGAGTACTGATGAGTAGTCAGAGTCAGGGTCTGCTTGAGCAGTCATCAGTAGAGGCGGATTTTAATGAAATGTCATTTTTTCCCTTTTAACTTTACAACAATGATTTTTAATATGGACATGAATTGTATATTATAACAAAAGGAAATTATCCATTTTATAAGATGTTTTTCATTTTTCATTGATTTCGACTAATAAGTACTTTTTTACCATTTGTTCTGTAATTTCAGCCGTTGTATGCAACCTAAGGTTCCTATGACGCTCACCCATCAGTGCCATTGCCAGATCGGCCAATATTTCCATAGACAGTAAAGAACAGTCCAAACCAAAATTTGGCAGATCAGTTCAAATGAACGAAAGGAAGAAATCTTGTTTGCATCAGTAATATATTGAAGTGCCAAACAAACTGGTATACCTTCCTAATATCGTGTAGGGTCCCCGCGAGCACGCAGAAGTGCCGCAACACGACGTGGCATGGACTCGAGCAATGTCTGAAGTAGTGCGGGAGGTAATTGACATAATGAATCCTTCGGGGTTGTCCATAATCTCGTAAGAGTACGAGATATCTTCGAGGTGGAGATATCTTCTGAACACAACGACGCAAGGCAATTGTTTCAACTTTTCTTTCTATATTCGTGGTAAATAGTGCAATAAAATATTAAGAGTAATTTTTATGCAAAAATCCATGAATTTCCTATAACTTTTACACTTTACAAACTGGACTGTTATGCACTGTATGTCGACCATTGTTTTTTCTACAAGTTTTATCGCTCTGTTTTGGGTGCGGTCTAACAAGCTTTTCTGCCCAGCCCTATACGAGTCCCAACACACGGAGCTGTATTCCATTACCGGACGTACAAGAGAAGTATAGGCTATGCGCTTTGCGTTCGTGTTTTCTTTCTTCAACATTGGCATTACAAAATGAAGCGATTCCCAAGCTTTGCGCGCAAAGTAATTGATGAGGTCGGACTAGTTCAGATCGCTTCGAATAACAACCCCCAAATACTTGAAGCTACTGATCTCAGGCACAAGTTGATTTGTGTGTATTTTAGTGTGATTTTCTCCCCCTTCCTTCTGAAGGTTACAGCTTCGTATTTCTTCGCTACTACTTGCACTACGTCGAATGCTTTTGTGAAATCTATGACAACTGCGCCTATTGTTTCTCCTGCGTCTAAAGACTCGGGAATGTCTTGGCAAACTGTTAGAAGTTGGCTTTCGCCTGAGTAGCCTGGTCTCTGAACCCATGTTGCCCTGCGTACAAACATTCGCTGTTTTCCCATACCGCTCTCATGTAATCTGAAATTTTTCCCATTTGTTTGCCTACTACGCATGTTAGACTAATCGGGTGATAGTTTTCGACGTCAGAACGGTTTCTAAACTTGAGGATTGGAAAAACTATGGCCTTTTCCCAGACATCAGGAAAAGTACCGTTGTTAATGGAGAATTCCAATAGTCGCGTGATGTAATGAACAATGATTTCTCCCCCAAACTTCAGTATCTCCCCCTGGTACACCGTCGGTTCCTATCTAAATTACAAGAAAAATGCTAAAAAGTTGTCCATTTCCGTTTTGTAATATTATGTTGCGGTTTCTGAGTGATAATTTGGTGTATTGTGTCCTAGTGAAATGAGAATAAATTCAAATAACAAAAATAAAAATAGTATATTGAAAAGTTACAGACTAGTTACAATAAATTGCTAACTTTAAACACTCCGGCAACCTTTTCCTTCCAGTACCCTGCTTTACCGCAGAAAAAAAGCCACGCCTGATGCGAGCTGTCGGACTTCCGTCCCGTGACATTACCGTCACATGGCCTGATGCCAAAATTTAAACCGGTCGCCGTCCGGCGGACCGCGTGCCTAAAGCACCCGAGATCGCCTGGCCCTTACACTCCGGACATCTCGCCCACACTCCTACGCTCCTTGTACCTACGCGTACTACGCTCTCCGATGCAAACTGAATGAGAACGCGGGCGCAGATGGCGCCGCGTTAAATAGTTGGGGCCTACACCCCCACCACACAAGTTTCCTAGGTAGACTCGCCTGCTGTCGGTAAGCGAGGGCTCGCTGGCTAGCATCTTAGGAGCGGGCTACACCCCCACACACAAGATTCCCAGGAAGGCTCGCCTGCTGTCGGCAAGCGAGGCTCGCTGGCCAGCTTCCTAAGAGTTTACAACCTAAGGTTAAATTTGGTTCTGCCACGCTGTCTGCGTCAACTCCCAGAGCGCAAAATCCCGGAAGTTCAGGATCAACCCCTTCCTCCCCCGCAGCGCATTTTCACCGACATAACGGTTCTGGCCCTCGTGTTAACGACGCCACAGACTTTGTCTATTAGGAGTTGGTAGCCCTGTTTCAAACATTCTCATTCTGGTAAGATATACACCTGCGTATGGTAATGTGGATACGCTAAAAAAACTCTGCAAATAATATTAATCTTTGTTATTCAGTACAATATAGTAAATAAAGCAAATAATTAGCATCCTTTTCTCAATGAATAATTCCAAATAGCTTTCCCGCAACCATTACATGTAAATTATTGTGTAAAACGTTTGGGGTCAAAAAAGACCCCAAACCGAGTCCACGTAAATATTTAAAAAACATGGACGAAGGGTTAATCTACAATTGTTTAACACAAATGTAATCTTTATATCTAGTGGGAGGCACCCGGTCATTGACAGATGCGGCGGGGACGAAGCAAAATGAACAAAATATTGAATTTAAAATCTTATATAAAATAATTGGAAAAATAATCAGATATAAGTATGTTTGAATAATATTTGTTATAAATGTTTTATTATTTATTATTTAATGTAATATTGTGTTATTGATTATGTATTATTTAATTCTAACTAACAAAAATTTAGAATTTAATAATTGGCTTTTCACGAGGAATATTATAATCACCAAATGATAGCAAAACGAAGGAAATTATGAGAGCAATCTCTCTTATCATGATTGAGGTAAAAACCAAATTTAGGCAATTTCAAGGAGGAGTAAAATGCTTAGCAACACATACTATACAAGTATTGTGACCATTTTCCTCCATTATGAATCTGAATAACAGGTACCAACGAGCAAACCTCTCTGACAATAATTGTAATATTAACAATTATTGTTAAGGGCAATCATGAGATTATTATGAGTATTGTTGAATAGAATACAAAGGACTTATACGATGTAAACGACCATGAATAAATAGTGATCGTTGATTTAATATTTTAAATATATAATGCACTATTGACAGAAATTAGAGCAAAAGTATTAATGATTTTTAAGAATAAGATTTTTTAGCTTTAATAGAACCGTCTTATTCTATTAATTCCAATTAAAGAAAACATTGTTTATTACTGTCATTATCAAACAAAAACGATTCTATATTACAATTTTGTGTTTTGCACCACACTAAATTTGTGATTATATCCTAGCAAAGCGAATTACATTATCAGCCCTACAAGCAATTATAATACTTTGTGTCCAAATCAAATATGTCTAATTCGTTTTAAACCATTACATTACGAAGTTGGCGGCGGTTCGGCAAATTCTCTTGCTTTGCAGTAACCAGGTACCTAAATTAAATGCATAACGTCTACTTTTTCAATTCCACAGTGTGCAGAGGGAATGTCAAATGCCTGTCTGCGCCACGATACAAACCCCGCCGCAACCGACCAACACCTTAACGCAAAGTTGCACAATGCGGCGGCGACCCGGTCGAATGCACTAGTTCACGCGCAAGAATGGCACAGACTTATGAAAGTACTTTGTCCACCAGTGCATAAAACAAGTTTTTTAATTCCTTGCCCTCACATTATAAGAAGAGAAAATATTGTAATCGTGCGCCAGAAAACGGTGCACTTTCCACAGAAAAACTTTGCTGGGACCCGGTAACAAAAAAGATGATAAATATTGTTCCTATATGTAGTAAATTACTTCCTCTATCACGTTGTGTCGTCAGAATCCATGTTTTGTGGGTCCTTGATACCGAAAAATCGATTGACGGCAAAAGCTTTCTCTGTCTATCCGTCCGTCTGCATGTGGTCAACGCTACAGCCTAAACCGTTCAGACGATTTTCTCCAAAATTGATATTCCCTAATCGATTTAAAGGAAGTCAAGATCTTGAGAGTTTGAAAATGATATTTTAATTTTTGTGTGTACTTTACATATATACGCATCAACAATATTTTCAAAATTTTCTCAAAAAGGCTCCAATTTTTTCGATCAATCTTTTCCTCGGATAGAGCATAATACGCTTAAAAGATTGGCGCAGGTCCCATTTTCGATGTAATCCCTATTTTTTCGGAAACTGTGTAAGTTCTGGTTTTTTGGCGTCTTTCTGCAACTTCAATATTTAAGATAGAGACTTCTACTTTCTCGCTACCGCTACCACAGAATAGAGAAAGTATTGAAAAGATGCGGGGGGAAACGGACAATTTTAGACAGAAAAACTTTTATTGTTGGTCACTAATAAAGAAAATATGCAGCCCTTCTCAAGTTATTCCCTTCTTAAGTACTTGTTCACTGACAATTGTTCGTAATGGCTAGACAGTAACTGTAATGAAAAGCAATCATTTTTTTGTTTTGTTTATTTACCTATGATGTGATTTTTACAATTTCAAGTAGATTTTGTCGCCACATTATCCCCCAATAGACTTTTGGGTTAGGCACGGACTCGCGAATAATCGTCTTTTGTGGAAAGAAGGAAAAAGACGGATGTGAAAGGCATTGGGGATGCGGGAATGGAGACAAATGAATACGGGAATGAGACAAAGTAACTAAACAAAGAAGTTGAAAATGAAAATGTTCACGTATCAGAAATCTTCTTATAGTACCTTATTGCCAAGTCAAAATTTATTGTAGGTTCTAATTAAAAATCAATGTTGACTTTCGGACCAAAACGAAATATGTTGTACCTACTAGGTTGCCCCGGTGTCTAACACTGA